CCCCCCCCCCCCCGGCATGCTTCAGTTTGTTCTCTGTATCTACGAGCCTGTTTCTGTTTCATTTTGTTTGTTCATTTGTTTTTTTAGGTTCCACATATAAGTGAAATCATACATTGGAAACAACTCACATGTTCATCACACTTAGAAGAGTTATGTAATTTTAAGGCTCACACATTTCTAGGTAGCCAAGCCAAAGTTCAAGTCCAGGTCTGTCTAATATCTAAATTCACATTCTCAACCAGTTGAAAGAAATTATCTTTTTTGGCAGCAATTTCAAGCTACTCTCACAGTCCCAAATAGTAGACACCAATTCTCCTTTGCCTGCAGGAGAGTGTTAAAAAGTGTCTAAAATTCTGAGAGAAGGCTACTACAAATTTCCAGGCAATAGATGGCAGAAGGAAGGAGCCAGAAAAGATATTTCTATTAGAGAAAAACAGAGAGTCCAGCAACAAGCCAAACAGAGTGAGGTAGTGGGGGCAATAGGAAAAATGTGAATGTAGAAATAGGTATAGATTGAGGGCTAAGTCAAGAACATTGAACTGAAGGTGGGTGTCCAGGCGGCAGCTGAATAAAAAAATATGAAGCTCAGGAGAGAAATCAGACTGATAAAAAAAACTTCAGAGTCATCAGTACATTTGCATATCAGATTCCCTGAACAGAGAACAACATCTCAAGTACGATATAATTTATGCACTCTTCTGACAATTAATATTAGCTCACAGAAAGGTCTTTGTGGACACCTGAAATTAATTCTGCAACCATTAAAGAAGACAGGTTAGAGAGAATGAAAAATCCTATAGTGAAGGTATCACTTCCCCTTTATGTGTCTGAGTAATCATATATTTTTAAAAAGCAAAAACCTATTGCTCTTTAAGGTAAGTGGGCAAAGTGGTTTCAGGCTACTATCTTGCTACTTGGGAAAAATCTTAAAAGTTATTATAACCAAAGATGTAAGAGGCAGAAAGATGCAGCTTGGTATCCTCGCCAGTCATAGCATTCACAGTGGTTAATTTTTACTTCAAAAGGCAGTTTCCCATATTTTATTTCAGTATCAAAATAAAGTCGACCCTTAACAACCTGGGTGTAAACTTCATGGGTCCACTTACATGTGGATTTTTTCAATAGAGATACAGTCAGCACTCAGCATCACTGGGTTTTGTATCAGTGGATTCAGCCAACCACAAATCGAAAATACTGTTTTTCTAAATCCGTGAATGGGGAGGGCCAGCTGTATGCATTTCCTATGCCATTTTATATAAAGGACGCAGGGGTTGTGGTATCCATGAGGGTGCTAAAACCAATCCTCTGTGGATACTGAGGGACAACTACAGTTGAAGTTTTGGGGGATTCAAAAGTTATACTCCAACTTCCTATTGCACAAGGATTAGCACCCCTAAACATGGTGGTGTTCAAGAATCAACTACAGCCCTAGCTGATTTGGCCAAGTGGTTAGAGCGTCGGCCTGCAGACTGAAGGGCCCCGGGTTCGATTCTGGCCAAGGGCATGTACCTCAGTTGCAGGCTTCATCACCGGCCCCAGTCAAGGTGCATGCAGGAGGCAACCAATCTATGTGTCTCTCTCACATCAATGTTTCTCCCTCCCTCTCTCTCTCTTCCCCCCTCCCTCCCTCCTTCCCACCTCTTCCTACTCTGTAGGCACTTTCTCATCATATCACATCTATAGATATCAAGTCTCTGAGAATATTACATTTCATTTTTTTAATAAAGACTAGGATGATATTTCTTTATCATTACAATTCAGGTCTGTTCAATCAGACTTAACATCTATCACCTGAGTTAAAAATCCACAGAAGAAATGTGATGAGTTTGCAGTAATAATGCTCCATCTCAAATAAAGCATAATGTGTGCTTAATTTAACGAATATATCATGATGATATAGATATAGATTTTTGCTAATTTTACGTATGTCTACTCCATAGCACATTTGAATAGAATAAGAACAAGGCATCTGATCAAATTGTTACAACCTGAGGTCAAGGGCTGTGTCTTATTTATTTCTATATCCCCAAGGCCAATAAATGGTAGATGTCCAACATCTGGTTGTTGGTGAAAGATAGAAGCAATAATTATTCACTTCTGAAAGTAATTTTTTAAGTTACCTAAAACATTTTGAACAGCAAAAAAGACTCCATGTTTTAAAAAAATGATTTTGGTCTACAGGTAAACTTCCTACCTCTCGATCCTTGAGTTTCATGGCGAGCACCAACTGATGCCTGTGGTTAGTGAGAGCCTCCCGATAGTTTCCTTTGGAGAAGAATGCAGAGCCTAGATTCCCATGAGCTCGGCATTCTCCTGTCTGGTCACCTGATTGGGTTTAAAAAAAGATAAAACTTCTCTAAGTTATAGCATTATTTTAATATATAATGGCCATCTTAATTTAAGAGCCATAGACTTACTAGCTAAGATTTCACTTGTCTTCTTTTAGAAAAGTATTTTCTTCTTCTATAAGACCCTATGTGGGAGGTTATGGTCCTAGAACTTAAATCTCTGGCTAACAACTATTATGACTGTCATACAACTGCAGTCAAAGACATAAGTGTCCTGGAAATGAGACCTTGTGTTAAAGACCTTGACACAAACCAGCTGCTGTTTGAGTCACTTCATTGCTCTGCTAATGACTTTTGGTTCTGAACAACCATCAGCTTGTTGGTTCAGTCATTTGACTCCAAACCTACTATAATATATTGCTTCTTTACAAGTATGCTGATGGTAGAGTCACCTGCTCTTACTGCAATCCTACAAGTCCTTGAATAATCACAATAACAATAATCATAATCCACACTTATTTTACAAATGAGAAAATGGCAGCACAGAGAGCTTAGGCAATTTGCTGAAGGTCACACTGCTAGAAAGTAGCAAGGCCAGGATTCTAAACACAGCAGTCTGGTTCCAAAGTCCACACTCTTAACCACTGCACTATACTGTCTCCTCCAATAAAATGATGATGTAGTCTAATGTAGGCAAAAATAAAAATTAAGATGAAACTATCATTTGGAATATTGTATCTGTGGGCGCAAATTTCTAAGGAGATTGAATATGTTAATTCACATCTCTTGGCCTTTTGGGAACCTTGGTACCTTGTTATTCAAAAAGCCCTGAACACCTGAGTGCTCTAAAACGGAGAATGTTCTAGAGACACACTCACTTTTCATTGCGCATGTTATTCCCATTTATGCCAAGTTAATCAGCTTTCTTTATTTCCTTTCTGTACTGAAATAAAGGAAAGAAGCATAACTCTACCTAAGGTCTTGGCTACATCCAAGTCCTGCTGCATGTATCCAGTGCTCTTCTCTGTATTTCCAAGAGACCAATAAGCACTGCTTAGGGCAGAGAAAACGGAACCTCTCAGTTTGAGGCTGCAGGTGCCAATCTTCAGAGCAGCTTCTAAGACAACCACAGAGGCCCCATGATGGCCAGCTGTCAGGAGTTCCTGCCCAACCACAGACACGACCACAAAGGGACTCTTGTCCAGTTTCATTTTCTGAAGCTGCTGATAAGTGGGCTCGAGGGAGTCTGAAGAAAAACAAAAGAAAATAAGAAAATGTAGAATACACAAGACAATCTTTTCTAGTATGCTCTAGAAACAAATGTTTATCACATCTTTTTACGGCCTATTTCAAGTACAAACTCTTCAACCTTTAATCTAGCACTTCCTCACTGTCCATTTATCCACATGACCCAGTAACACCAACCTCAGTCCAGTCACTTCCTTCTCTTCACTCTCAAATGCAGATGGCACACTTCTCCTCTCTCTCGGTCTTTCTTTGAACCTGACACAATACTTTATCAGGATGGTTTTCCCCTCTCTGTCTTGCTGTCCTCTCAAAACATTATAAGTAGATCCCTCAAGTTCCACCTCTACTATACAGTATCCCCGGTCCTCCAGTCCACATTAATCTTTGTATCTAAACTTCTGCTGCACTTTTATAGTTAGTAGTGCAGTTTGGCCCTTAACTATTTCAGAATTGTTCCATGTGTGTTAATTTTTAAAATATTTTCCCAGCTAAATCTGAAAACCACTGTAGGACTGTTTAATACTTTATTATAACTCCATGGCAATTGGCACTAAATAAAAAACTTGACCTTGCCACAAAGGTAAAAGACCCTACCATATTTGGAGTTCAAAAAACATTTGTTAAGCCTGAATCTGAATGACTTGATTAATAAACCCATCCACAATTTTTCCCTGGAAGATGCAGTAAGAGAAGCCCTCCCAACAAAATACCTGTCCTCCTCACTAGCCACCCAGTGTCCATTGCTGCTTCTGAGATCAGTATGACCAAATTAAAAAAATATTGTCAATTTTTGTTGTGGTGCCAAATGAAACCATAAAGAAGTCATTCAAGTTTACTAAGGGAAGGTGGAAGACAATATTAATGTTGATCTCATTTTATTTTCATGTGGTATTTGCAAAGACACAGATTAGTTGTCAGGAAGCCAAAGGAGATTCTTTCCATTTGAAGTGAGGTTTGAATGTGGATCCTTCTCCCCCTTCTTTTTTTTAAAAAACAACAACACAACTGCAGAGCTAATAACTATAACCCTACAATGAGGCTGCACCTACAGCACATTTGTTGCTAGCTTTCCTGAAAACCTATTTCACATTAGTTGTTCCACTGTGCACATGTAAAAACTATAAAAAAAAAAATGGCCTCTTTAAATAGTGAATCTCTCAGCCAACAGTACTGCATTAAAATGTAATTTTTACAATTTATGACTTCAGACCTCAACTCTCCACTAAGGAGCTCTCGTTTAAATCAACATTTCCATGTAAACCTTAAAACCTTCTGGTGCCTAAAGAATTTTTTCCCCTCAATCAGATCACTAAACAGAAAACAAAGAACATTTTTACACCTGTCAAGATGCAAGCAGTATATAGAACCAGTAAATACTAGCTAACCAATAGGGTTAAATACAAGCACAAGAACCCTGGAATTGCTAGAATAGAAAAGAATAATGCTATACTGAAATAACTGAGGAGAATTTTGATGGTACCCACTGATGAGTCTGGCAGCCAATGATGATCATACCATCCCACTGACCAATGTAACAGAAGTAAAATAATAGAATGTTAGAACTTAAAAGACCTTGAAAATACCCTTATTTTAGAAATAAAGAATCTGAATATTTAAGTGATTCACCCAAGGTCAGACTGCGTGGGACAGAGCCAAAACAAGAACCCACTGCAGGGCTCTAAGTCTAGGCAAATTCTCAGTTGCTCACGAAAGAAATCAGTCTTGGCTGGTTTTAAGTAGAAAAGAAATACACTAAGTGGCTATTGGGAAGGGTGGAAAACCAGGCCTCCAGGCCCACAGTCGAAATCATGTCACAAAACCTTCCTAGTAAAGGCAACATAACTGTTGCAACTAAACACAGGACAGCACAGCTTCCAATGCTGCCTTCACCACTACTGAATGCCACCCTTAGAAAATGGATGTCACCACTGCCACCCACCACCACCAAGACAAATTCTGTTTGAACTTTTAGCTCCTGAATCAAAGTGGGGTCCTTGCTTCAAAGGAGGATGGGAAAATTAGGATCTGAGGTTTTCAGCTTTTATAGTGAAAGGCAGGAGGCAGAGTATAAGAGGGAATTCCCAAAACACAGGAAGTGCGCTCAGACACTGACAGCCCAAAATGACTGATGGCAGGCAAAGATACTATGCTTCCACTGGTAATTTTTTTAATCATAGCAATCATGGCTAAGTTCAAAATAAGAGCCATCTAATTGAACCTCTAAAAACTATACAATAATAGAAAGTTAGAGGATTGGAAAAAATTTCCCGCAGAGGACTGAGGGAAATACTAGGAATATTCTCCCCAACCCCCCCCCCCAAAA